TGCGCAGAACAAAGTGAACGAGCAAGATCTGCTGTGCCTTTAGAGCGTAAATAATCAAAAACTGCTTTACGTGTTTCTTCGTCAACATTAAGCTTCATAACCCTAAAACTTTCTCTATTTTTTCGTTTAGTTGCATAAAGGACACGACTTCCTTGTTTAACTAAGTATTGTTTACATGCAGAAAACATTTCCTTCTCCAAGTTCTTGTCATTGATCTGTTCAGATAACCATTTACTAGCGCGATCACAGGCATCACGCCATTTATTTTCATGATCTGGTAAAATGTTCTTAAGATAATGGATCGTAAAAGCTGTGTTCCAAACAGAATCATCACATCCTCTTAGTCGGGGACTACCAACGAACCGTTTAAGGGATTCAACAACGTCATCTGGTTGATTGAGATGGTCAATTATAAAAGGACTTAGTTTAAAGGAACCGTCTTCTTGCTGAGACTCGCAAATTATACTAGGTATATCGATATCGGAAGGTAAACATTCACGTAAACCTTCATGAACTTTTCGAACAGTTTCATCATCAAAATCAAGTTTAGTAACGTAAATAACTTCTTCTGAAATGTTATTATTAACAGCTTTGTCGTGTGCTTTATCGACCACATATTTATTGGTGCAATCTAATAATTCTTTTTCAGTAGCAGGATCTCCAATTTGTTTAGATAAATAATCGCGAGCTTTATCATGTTTATCTTCCCATTGATTTTTATGATGAGGCGCGGCCACCTTAAGGAAACTTATAGTAAGTGCTGTCTTCCACCATGGATCTGACTCAGGTGATTGTAATTTTTCATTAGGAGTACAAGATTTGACTGCAGTTACAACCTCCTTTTCTTCTGTAGGGACTTCTAATTCTTTACAAATAGTATCACTTAACTCGAAGGATCCGTCATCTTTTTGTTTAGATACGACATCTTCACATTTATCGGGAGTTGTTGATGTTTGGATATGTACAATACCAGCCCTCTTTTTGTCCTTAATGGCTTTTTTAGAGCAATTGTCGACTACATAATTATCAGCGAAATCCAA